GTTAAACTCAGACATCAAATAACTGGTTTCACGTATACACTTAAACCGCGAAAACTTTACTTATACTTTACTCTACTGAAAATCTTTTCCTTTGAAAAGAACCTTTTCTTTTTTCTTTTAAACGAAACTTTTATCTACTGTAGGGCCATCTTTAAAATTTTGTTTTGGAATGTTTTACTTTAGTCATGCAATATACTGTCAAAATGTCAAATGAAACTCTCAATCGAAATAAGAATTCTTCCCGGGCGGGCCCCCAATTTGTTACGAGCCGGTCCTTACTATTTTATTTGGCCGCGCTTTTGGTTCTATTTGCTCGCAACAAAGATTGTGAAACCAATTACTTTCAATGATATATTTATTTCTTACTTATATATTACCCAAATCTCAATAATTAGCGTCTCTATAACTTTTACTTATATAATATAATTCTTAATAATAATGTACTGTTCAAACTTATCTCTTTTCACGACTGAGCACAACTCTTCAATTCCTGACAATTCTTTGTCTTTAATATATCCTTTGCCTTTGTATAATCCTTTTAAATCTTTCTTTATTAACTTGTAATTTCTATATATCTTCACGGCGATGTTATTCAGGCTTTCGCCTTATGAATAATGCATCAATTGTCTAGTTGTGCTCAGGCTTTTATACGCTCTGCTATAGGGGAAGAAACTACAAAACTACGACTCATTTCCCCTACGCAATACAGTTCGTTGAAGCAAGTCTCAGTAACCACAAATCGGCCAACGCCAAACCGAGTCATGTCCGCTACGTTAGTTGTGGGACATCTTAATCTTTAAAACTATTTGCTTACTCATGCATGTAAGCTATTCGGTTAATAATATGAATATAAAGTATAAGTTATATAGTATAATATAATAGTATGTAAAATTACATGATATAAGCATTATCATGTAACAATTCTGATCAGGAAGTTTGGGTCTCTCGCAATATGAAGTGTTTAGGCACAGATTTGAAAGTTTCTCTGAGTGTGATATCGGTGTCCAGTCAAAACGTCCCCAGGTCAAAAATGCCTAACTCTTGTGTTCAAATAAATTGAACTGCAACTAAATTAAAAAAGAATAAACATGTTCACAGTGTTACAACACAAGTTTTCCAAATTATGCGACACATGGGATTACAGTATGTAACTCGAATGAAATGTTTATTTGGCAATGAATTTATTCGCAAAGAATTTTTATTGTACCGTGGTTGATTTAGTTCCTTGATCAGATCAGAAGAAATCCAAAAATATTATATGTGAAAATGGTTTAAAATTACATTAAAGTTGGTCTAGTATCTGATATTTAGCCAACAGATTTGACTTTAGTTGGGATATTTTGACATAAGGATACTTTGACTTGAGTTGGGGACGTTTTGACTGGTAAGCATGATATCGGATGAAAGTGTCAAAAAGATTGTAAGATCTCTAGACATAGGTAGCATAAGTTAAATACCATATGTACCAGGGGTTACACAAACTGTGACTGGGTTGGTGTTTATGATCATTGATCTGCATTTGCAGCTTGTGCACCTTTTATTTGTTCAAATAATTTTGTTGGCCTTGAAGTGAAATCAACACCATGTTTTTAAGTAGCGGCCAATCAGGAAGCAAGGACTTTAACACCTGGCCAATCACGGGTTGTTATCGAAACCTCTTTGTTAGCTCTTGTAAACAATGGTGGCTGATGCAAATCAGTCGTCGAAGAGATGTTATTAACAGTGCAAAGCAAAAGCTTACTTCATTTACATATACGTCATGGTGTTAAGTTTGTATCATTCGCTGTGAAATGGAGAAAATTACAATGTAAAGAGGGTGAATAGCAATCAAAGCAGCAATTAGAGTATTTATTACAGAGGTAACATCTCGAATGCTTGGTGCCAGTTTTAGAGGTAGAATCTTCGATAAAACTTCTGTGTAAATGTGATAGACAACCTGTAAAATATAGAGAAAACTTTGATGTTTTGAGTGAAGGTCCTTCCTCGGGAAGTTAGCATATTTTCCAGTAGTTTATCACATTCACACAGAAGTTTTATTTACAGAAGTAGTCAGTTAGTAAGTCTTCAAGGTCTTGCTTGGGGTGTGCATTTAAAGTTTTGTTTTATCTCCCTTTCAAACTACCTGAAATATGTAATTCTCAACTTGACTCATTGATGTGTTTGACTTTTCCATTGACAAGGAAAATTGGAAATTGTATGGTTTGTTATGCACTAGCCAATTGAATGGAAACTGCCACACCTGGTTCTAGGAAGTGGGGGGTTGCAAGCAAATGGCGTCAAAAATACCTTAAGCAAATGGCGTCAAAACATGCAGGCCCTGGGAGATATGTATGGGTCTATATCTACAGTCCTCAGTGATTGTTTGTGGATCAAACCATTGTATGTTTACCTCAAATTTTGTGATTTGATGACTGCCAGCCACGAGGAGTGAAATTGTCTGGCATTAGACAGAGTTAATACTAAAGTGGGGCGCATTGCATGTTAAAAGGGGTTAATACAAGCATTAGACCAGTTCATTAGGCATAGTAAAAATATCTGGTGTTAGGCTAAATTGCAAAAGGAGGACTGTTTGCCTGGTTAAAGGCTATGCATTATTTCTTCTATTATCTACCTCAAAGATGTCAGGTCTTCAGCTTTTAGACTCGATGAGCACAAATAAATCTCCAGCTGAAGTTTGGTTGACAATATTTAACAATTAGGGAGAATTAAACTAGATTGGAGAGAATTAAAAAAAAAATTTGATCATTTACTAAATAAGCCCAAAGTTCCTTAATTTAATAAAAAAATATGCAATTACAGTATATGTATTAACCACATAGGTGGTGATGTAGAGGAAGATTGTTCAACCAGTAAATATAGGCGCCTAAGTCATTCGAAAACATCTATCGGAGAGCCCGAAAGGTTTTGCCCCATGTATGCATCATTTGCAAGAAAGTAAAATACAAAATGGGTCAGGAGAAGAAGAGAAATGTTGAGACTGAAAAAAGTGGAAACACTTACAGCTGGCAAGCTTTTTGAAGCAGCTTGTCTTAAAGCAAGAACGGATATTCTTGTTCATTTGCAAGGAACAGGAAGAGATTTGCCTGCAATGGAACCTTGGTATCACCACAGTTGCTACATGGATTTGACAAGATTTCTTTCCAAGCCAGAAAAAAATCTTGAAGTGAGTTGTCACTACATGAAGGCATATGAGAAGTTTTGCAAAACTGTTGTCGTGCCACAGATTCTGAAGGATAAGCATATCTTGTTGTTGAAGTCGTTGACAGAATCCTTTGTGAAGATGGTAAAGGAAGTTGAAGATATTGATACACAGTATCGCTCCTCCAACCTAAAGAAGCATTAAGTAATACATATCCTCAATTACAGTTAACCTATGACACTAGAATGGGATATATTGTTTACTCAGGGGCCATTAGTTCTGCAGATCTAGTCAAAGATCATGTTGGACAAATGTCTACAGATTACAGCAGTGAAGAAGATGAACCCGACAACAAACCTGATGAACAGTCGCAACTCCATTATGCACCCATGCAATCAAGATGACATGTGAACAACCTATTTTTCTTCAAAGATAGTCAAGAATGCAATTCAAGATTCAGTATCAAAGTTCAAATGTCCATGGCCTCCCACTGCAGAAAACCTTGATACTGATGCCACATGAACTGTTCAACTGGATTGCACGGACAACTGGTATCAGTGAAGAACCTGCTGTTGATGAATATGTAAAAGTAGCCGAGAATGAAGAAAAGTAAATGTTGTCAATTGCACAAGCTATCATTTTTCTCAAGGCAAAAGGAAGGGTAATTACCCCAAAGCATCAAGCTCTATCAATGGCAATCTGGCACATGACAGGATCTTCACAACTCATCCAGATTGTAAATGGTTTCGGGTACAGTGCCTTGCATAGTTCCATGTATTTATCTGACTTTATTTTATAATTGTAAATTAACGAGGTGTTCCAACAATATTTTGCGTAGTTCGTTCACTTTGGAGACAAAATTCCGCAAGATATTTTTTGATTAAGAAATGAATGTCCCCAGTCCTGCGGTATTCGCGGGCACGCGAGAACGGGAAGATTCAAATACCGCCTTCCCAAAAACTACACATTCTGAGTTCCGCCCACCGAACGCATGGTTCCGCCCATCTTAATGTATTTGTCAAACTCTTTCATGTATTGCACCAGTGCAAATATACGGCTTTGACGTTTCATATCTTTGGTTCATTGAATGTTATGAAGACAAAAATATCATGTTCGATTCAGTGTAACAATATGTCCTCATTCTTAGCGATAGTTTTAGTCAAGTCAACATTATAGCGATTTATGAGCTTTAAAAGTCAAGCGAGTTCGTATATTATCAAATTATGCAATTGTCTGAACAAAAATACTACTTTGCGAGCCTGTATCTTCAAATCTGCATCTTTTATCATGGTATTTTTATCATGGTATTTGCATTTCTATCACATCTCTATCAAGCAACAAATGTTGGATTGATATTCTTTGTTCATTCTTCAAGATGATGGGATTACCGATTCCAGATAAACAATTCAATGCTTAATTCTCAATACATTCGTTATTTTTTTTTCGTTAGTGTATGCCATCATTCGATAGATCGGTACGGCAACATTAACTTCTAAAATTAACACTAATTATTCTAATTCTTTCCTCCTGTCAATCAAAAATTCAAAATCAACATTCTGACCAATCATAATGCTGCGCCACCCAGCTGCCGGAGAACTCAGAATGTGTAGTTTTTGGGCAGGCGGTATTTCAATCTCCCCGTTCTCTTGTGCCCACAAAAAAAGCCATTAAAGGAAAGCAACTCAATTATAAAGTAAGGGAGAAGATCATCTGTTTCCAATTGCGTTCGTATATATTACATTTAGAGCGATTTATAGTTTTATACTGTAACACTTTTATTTCTTCATTTGTTATTTCCAGGTATGAAGCGGTTGTAAAAGATGTTCTAATCAATTACCCCAATATCAATAAATATAATCAACAAACAACATGAAAGGAAAAAGTAAACAACAACACTGCCTAACTTACTGCATGATAAAATTAATTCATGGAGCTTAATGGATTAGTGTCGCACCATTGCAAGCTTTTGCTGTTTTTCTCTTACCCCAAATCAATAAATAGCGACTTTGCTTGCATGGTACATGTCAAAATAAGAATTAGGTATTTGAAGCAAGGATTCTCAAAAGGATGGTTTAAATATGTATACAACAGAATGCAAAAAAAAAAAAAACAAATTAAATGACCGTCAGCAGGAACTTGAGCCTGCAATACCATGGTGTGACACTACTGTAAACAAATGTTTATCTAGCTTCCATAGGACAAGGGAGTGGCAGAGAAAGCGCAGCCATTCTAAAATGTACAATACTGTAACAAATCTCAAAATATAGTAAATAAATTTGTTACAGTCTATCTATGCATAGTAACAGTTGCTGGTAAAGCACCTTTGCATCATGAGCATTTTGGGGCGGACCAAAATTTTCATCTTCTACGATCATTTCTGCAAGTTCATAAAATGTTATTGCTAACGGTGACCGTTCGTCCTCGCAAAGTTCCTTCGATATATCAATGTCATCTTCATTTGGGATTACCTTACAGTCTGTTACACCTACAGACTCTGGAACAAAATACAAGACATCTGGGCAACCAGAAGTTGAATCTGGATTTCTTGTAGGTCAAAATTGGAATTTGCGCAAATTCCAATTTTGAGCAACACGCTGAAGCTCTTCTTTCAACAATCCCATAAAGCAATATTTAAGACATTCAACATGTATGGGATTCTCATCACAATATTCTCCGTTTTCCCTCATTGTTTTGAAAACATTCTTCCACCAATCTGTGAGTGACTTTCGCAAAAACGACCACCACAATTCAATCCTTTGATTTGAAGTGGATTTCCCATACATAAAGCTTTTTTCACTTTTAAACTATCTTGATCATTCCTTCTTAAGAAACGTTGTATTCCAGACACATTTACATTTTCGGTTCCAGCATCAGCACAGATGACGCGTGGCAAACCTCCTACTTGCTGCACACAATTCATGAAATAATGAGCAATAACTTTTGGGTTTTTGTTTGTATATCCAACCTCCAACCACAGAATCCTTCTACTGAATCCGTCTATTCCGCCATGAATTGAGAAACCAAATGGTTTTAATTTGCCATATCCGTCGATATGCCAGATGAAGTTTGGACCCTTTGCTCGATACATTCTGCATTTCAGTTTGTGCTTTGAACGACATGCTACTCCATCTGGATCAAGTAATTTAAGGGCTTTGCGCACATACAGACCATAATCTGTTGTTAGTCGTTGATGCATTTGCCTGTAACCAATGCTTACCCCACTGCTTCTTAACTCGTCTTCAATTTTAATGGGAGTCGCTTTGCACTGATCTTCTTTTCAAATGAAGGTTACGTAGTATTCATTTTAGTTGACGAATGCTCAAACCGTGTGCTAATGACAGGAACAAAACGATTTCTGCATTGTTGAAACCAAGACTAAAATATCTTGTTATTAAAACTTCGCGATCAACATTCTGATTTTCATCGATTGCAGGTATATAGGGTGGTAGAACGGAAAAGCATCGATGTAAATAACTTAATAATACCAATATTAAGTACAGATTAATTGCGTGTGAGAGAAAGAGAACCATATTTACCTTGGCCGTGTACGCATAAAATGACAACACTCATTTTGTACGATTGCTTCAAAGAAAACTTTGATTAAGTAAAAGTTAAGTTTAGTAAAGAGTCGAGTTTAATAAAACGCTGTGGCTATTCGTACTGGAACAGTACGCCGAGTTTGATTTGCTATTCGTACTGCAGTTGTAATATTTAAGATAAACCGGACCCCAACCCCTTGTCTAACCCTAACCAATAAAGGTCTAATAAACTATTTGAGAGTTAAAAAAGTGGAGAAAAAAAAAATTTAAGAAAAATTTCTAAGTCAACAGAAAACAGACGGCTAAAACTAAACCCGGACCCGACCGTGTTTCACTTCGCATGCACGCAACGCCTTTGCCGATTACGCTAGCAGCAAGCTCGCTAAAAGCTGTTGCAAAAAACTATTTTATATTGCTACTTTACGTAATGTAAGAATCGTGTGCCATATTTCAGTAAAAATAGCTACTTCGTTAATAAGTTGAGTTTAGGAAAGCTGAGTTTTATAAAAAAGCTGAGCTTTTTATTCAAAAGCTGAGTTTATATAAAAAAGGAGTAAAATAAGAAAATAGAACTTGCGTTTACCGTGTCCCTTATGGGCCACCGTAGTTAAAAGCATTTCCCCTGTCTCTTCCGATCTATAATAAGACGGCGAAATAGTCGTCAATATAACGCTTGAGAGTTACACATCCATTCGATATTTCCAAAATTTTGTTGTTGAGTTTGTTCATGTATATAATGGCTAATATAGGGGCTAGGTTGCTTCCTGTGGCCAAGCCCGATTGTTTATATCGCTTTTCAGACAAAGGCGCACAAGTTCTTCAAAATCCTCATCACTAAGAGCATGTAATTCACAATCAGTTTTGTATTCGGAGAAGAAACGTTGGTCAACTGTACAAATGCTGGGAGTATTGCCGTCTATATCCTTCAGGGGAATAGACCCATACAAATTACACACATCTAGGCTGGATACCATGCTAGAAACCAATTGGCAACACTGGACTATAACCATCACAAGGGAAGAGAACAAGCAACCACAGCTGATGGTCAACCAAGGTACTGTATATTAATTAATTGAAAAATATCCAAAGGCAATTTATTGCATTTATATGTGCTGTAGCATATGTGCATTCTCTATGAGGGAAAAAGGCTCCAGGAAAATAAACCATTCCCTTTTAGAAACTGGACATAGCTGGCTAATTTATGTATGTAGAGCTACTTCCAATTAATCAAACTACAACAAGAGAACAAAGGGACAAATGACCTGACACAGCATCATACTGTAGTTACCAAGTCTATAATCCTTTCAATAATTTGTGGGAAAAAGTCAGTTAATTTGGACAGTGTGTGGAGTGCTGCTTTAAGTTCATTTATAAAGTTTAGTTTGTTTCTTGATTTGGAAGGAGATTCAGCAAGCGAACATTGAGATGGTGCCATGTCAAGATTCTGGAGCCCAAACAGTGCAGTTATATCAATAAACTGCTGTTGACAGTTTTTGAGAAAAGGTTGAGCTCTAAGGGAACTGTAGACCAGAGAATTGGTGTATTGCCAGAAGATTCAAAACAGATTGCTCCTAATATTGCTTCCATCCCTCTCCCAACAGTAAAATCAGCGGTTGAAGAGAACACAAATCTCGATTTTAAATTAACAAGAACAGACATGCACATGTACAGTAGGATAATTATTTACAGTATCTATATATAGTAGCAGGTATAGTAATGCATGTTGGCCCTCGCATAATTATTTACAGTAATACCTACCTAACAGTTTGTTTGAACTATTACAGCTCATTCAGTTTGAGCATATACATGTTTGTCATGCTTGTCGGCATTACAATGGGACATTTCTACAGTATAGGCGTAAAAGAATTGGTTGTCACTGAAATGTTGCTCCATAAATAGCTATTTATATAGCAACATATATTTTTACAAGTTACTACTCATTCTTTACAAGTTACTACTCATTCTTGTACACCTGGACATGCCTGATTACATACATAGAAATGTGGCATTGTCATAAGTGTGAGGTAGTGAAAAGAGGTTTTAGGGATTGTGTTATTTGAAATTTCTGAATTTGTACATAACAAAAATGTCTTTATGAAATTAACAAATAACCATTTCAGATATTTGATCACAAAGTCAGCCAATAACCTGTGTACACTCCATTAGGAGAAGGATACAACTGTGTATAGCCAGTACACAGCAACTTGGAACTACTCTCCGATTTCCTCTCCCTAAACGTCCATGTTGCCATAATACAAATTGCCTATAGGCTGCATGGCAAAAATTCTCATTTCTATTATTGTTGAGGACCAGAACATCTTCTCTGTACCTCGTGGCAATATCCAAAATATTAGCATCTAGGACAACTTGATTGAAAAGTGCTTGTCTTGAAACACAAGGTCTTCTTGTTCGAGCACAGCATTTATTCTCCTCCTGAGTGGGCATTGCCATACAGTGACCACAGTTGCACCACTCAGGGGTATTATCAGGATCTGGAGCTCCATTCCCTCCTGGCAATTCTTCACTCACTATGTCAGCAAATGTGGCTGGCTGCCTGCACAGTAATTCCAAGGCCAGCCTATGCAAGACGTCAATTTCCATAGCTTCCACTAGGTTCTGAAAAGTTAACATATAGGTATCATTGTTAACTCAATCACAAATATTTGAAATATTAAATATGGCATTAGATTGGGTCAAATAATGATACAGGAAAATTGTAGCAGATATTTAACTGTTAATTAATACTCTTATACTCTGAGCTTGAGGAGTAAAATTGTCAGGCATTAGAGCAAACAAAAAACAGTTGGCCTCCTGATGACCTAATGGTGTTAACCAAATAAGTACATTGTACCATACAGTAGTTTTCATCTGTGTAATGATAGACAATTTTACTTGTCAAGGGAAGATTTTTGCATTCAATGGGTGATCATGGGGCGAAAATGATGATTGAGATGCAAAATGATGATTGAGATGCACTTCCTTTACCTTCTTTCTTGTTGTTTTCGTTCCTCTTACTGACCTCTTGCTCTCCCTCTTGTCTGCACCCCCTTGCTTTCTTCACTTTGCTCACTATCATACTCTTCACTCTCATCCTCATCTTTACTCTCTGTATCTTCATCTTGGATAGAAAAATCAAAATCCTAAAACAGCAAGAGAGAATATACTGTAAGCCAAGCCAAAGGGTCAATTTTCCAATGGTGTGAACTATGAGCTTACGCAGTTGTAATATACAAACTAGTCCAAAACATGCCCGCTGATAAACGTTTCCAATATATTATATTCTCATATCAAATTCACATATGTGCTTTATATAAATTATAATATAAATAATTTAATGTTCTCTGGAAGTTCGTTCCATTAGTCCTTTGGCTTTGTGTCAGGACTTAATGCAAAACCAGAACTAGACATGAAAGCTCTCTTTGTCTTGCCCTCTGTGCATCGCATTAGATATGTAAATGATGTTAAAAACACAAAGAAGCTACTGCCTGTTTTATATTCATGCGCCAAATTTTCACCGAATACCGCCTTTATACATACAGGAAAAGGTATTAAATAGACTTACCGTGTTTTCGCTATCGCTTTCTTGGGCCCTTTTGTTGTTCATGCAACAACCCAAATTTTTGACTTTGCCATGACACACACTCGAACAAAACGTATTCACACTTCTGCATAGTTTCTTTTCGACAATGGCCGCGGCATTTGCATATAGTTCAATTATCTACATTAGGCAATGCTGCGGCTTCTTCTATCTGACTTACTTCAAATTCTTTGAGCGAAAAGCAGCCTTCACTTGCATTGTCGGCCATGATGGATCAACAGTGAAATTTAATCACATGATGCATTTGATAATAGTAATACTTCATGTTATAGAATTATAATGTTCATGAACAAACAGTAAAAAAAATGCAAAGAAACTCCGCACATGTGCAGGAAGGAACGTAGACCATCTTTAAGAAATACAAGTAATCCATTTATAATGGACAAGACGAGAAGTAAAATTGCCTTGAGAAGTAAAATTGCCTTGCATTAGACAGCTAGGCTTATAATAAAATGCCAGAACTTATATGTGAAAAATTACCTGAGTCAATTTATTTGACATATATACCATATTAATTAACCATTAAGTTGCATTGTGCCCTAATGCACCCTACTTTATTATCTCATTCTGTCTAACACCAGACAATTTTACTTGTGAACTGGCAAGCCACTGGTGCTCAATGGGTTAACATATCAATGATGAACTGAACAATTTGGGTTCTGCTCTACAGTAAATTTCCCTGTAATTGGAGCCTGGTATCTGTGACCCAATACATCTTCAGTGTCTTCATATGGTACTGTCACTATTTTATATCGTTGCCAGAGATTTGCCAGGCGGAAAAAAAAATTCTTATATTAAATATGAGAGCCCAATATATAACTTTTAACAATGCCTTTAAAACAGTTAAGATTGTAAAGAATTTTAATTGTAACGTTTCGTCTTTAACTTAAAACATCTTCAGACTAGATAAAATTACATGAGATTTGAATATATATAAGCTAATTATAATCTATTTACAAGGTGTTCTGTTACTAAGGATAATAAGGACAAGAGGGTGTATGTATGACAGGACGATACAAATGAGGAAACAAAACAGACACAAGAAAACGGCAAATTACAGAAGGTTAAGCGGAATAGAGCTGCCCTGGATTTTAAGAGAGGGTTTCGGCTTAGATATAAAAAGGCTTTCGTGAATCAATAATTCACAAGTGTCTGAGCAAGAGGAAAGAATTTTGAAGTCGTCAAAGTTGGCAGAGTGACCTGTTGTATTTAAGTGAGAGAAAATACTAGACATGACTGGACTGGATGACGGCTGTCCTGTTATAGGAGTGAGTCCTAGGTGTTCCAATACTCTATACATAAAATGGACATTTCTCATTTAGGCCAATATAAGTCATGTGGACAAGAAATTAATACAAGTTCTTTTCAATGTTCAAATAGCAAGAGTAGTGGTGCACTAGCTCTTACCAGACCTAACTGGCAGAACTAACATTTACTTTTTTCTACAATTTTGTGGGAATGTGTTATATGTGTTACAAACAGTTAAAGAATAGCCCATGGAGCTATAGTTTTAATAGTACTGTATTACATGTAACTAGATTGTACAGTTAGATTTTTAAATTATTTACTGCAAATTTGATGATTATTCTTTGACCATGCAAGTTTAATTAAAATAATATACAAAAGCAAGGAAATTTTTGTTTTTAATTAAATTCACAGGGGCTCGAACTATATTAATTAAACATAATATGATGAAAACATCATAATGTAATATATTTAAATTATTGCACATACTTGTATAAATCATAAGAGCTTGCATTTACAGTGAATAGCTTCAAACATTGCTTCAAATGATGATTCACAACATAAACAACATAGCTTGCTATTGTTTGTGCGATGTTACTCTGAGTGTATATCCACACCGGGCAGGCTTGAAAAATATGCCTGGCCACGGCGGGATTCGAACCTACGACCTTTGGAATACTAGCCCAATGCTCTTCCAACTGAGCTACGCGGTCAGGACGGTTCGAGTATGCGATATTTCCAAAGGTCGTAGGTTTGAATCCGCCGTGGCCAGGCATATTTTTCAAGCCTGCCCGGTGTGGATATACACTCAGAGTAACATCGCACAAACATCTTATTCACCTGAGTACATTACACCAACACAGCCGATTTCATGATTATTAGATTACACTGATATCGAAGGAACTAAACTCAGTTCCGAAATATCGCAAACTCGAACCATCCTGACCGCGTAGCTCAGTTGGAAGAGCATTGGGCTAGTATTCCAAAGGTCGTAGGTTCGAATCCCGCCGTGGCCAGGCATATTTTT